AAAAAAAAAAACTAGACAAAAAAATGTAATAAGTTTATTTATTTTGAGTCAAGGTCTCATGTAGCCTCTAGTGACATTAAATTTGTGATACTCTTGCCTCCACCTCCCAAGTAATAGGATTTAAAAACATGCACCTTCACCCAGTTTTAGGAGGGGCTGGGGTTGAAGCCCTTTGCACATGTCAGGCAAGAGCCTTTCCAGCCGGGCTACATCCCCGGCTCTGCAATCGTTGTGGTAACCCCGGTTATCCTAGATTCAGCCAATGGCAGTTCGGTTGGGTACACTCACGCTGTCCTTTTGTTCTTATCGGCTGGGTATTCTTTGAGCGCTCCTTTCTGGCACAACAAAGTGTTCCAAAATTATCTGATAACTCTTTGACCCCAGCTCTGACTCATCCTTTTACTCAGAGAGACTTGGTTCAAGTTAGCACAGACGTACATTTATTGGCTGAAATCTAGGTTTTCGTTTGTTTGGGTGGGTGGGTGGTTTTTTTGAGACAGGGTTTCTCTGTGTAGCCCTGGCTGTCCTGACTGTCTTTGTAGACCAGGCTGGCCTCGAACTCAGGGATCCACATGCCTCTGCCTCCTTAGTGCTGGGGTTTCAGGGGTGCGCCACCTCACCCTGCAGAGGTCTAGGATTTGTTTTGTTTTGTTTTTTATGCGCTGGTGCCTCCTAGTGTGTCTTTGCTTCTAGGTTCAAACACCAGGGAACAGACACCTGGTAAGGGGTGAGGCAGAAGAAACTGAGGAAACGTCATCGTCAGAGGCTTCTTCAGGGTTAGACACCCCCGAAGCTGCAGTTAGGCTGTCCCTACCACCTCAGGAACCGGGCAACAGAGCCTTCGGCCACACAGACACTTTCGCCAAGGGTCTGTGTACTCAACAGTGTTGGGCTATCATGTGCCTTGTGGGGTTGACGCACCTTTTCTTGTGAGGCTCATGGAGGAACTGCTTCATCATTATTTGAGAGGGAGAAAAGGGCCACTTTCCCCTATGAACATGCTACTCATAAGTATTTATAAAAAAAAAAATTTAAATCCACAACACAGAACCCTGCCTTAGAGCAGCCCCTCCTCCCTCGCTCTCTCTTTCTCTCTCTGTCTCTTTCTCTTTGTCTCTCTCTGTCTGTCTGTCTGTCTGTCTGTCTCCCTCTCTCCCCTCTCTGGAGTGTTTATTTTGCTTAGCTTTGCTCAAGAGGTCTTTATCTCTTGACTGTTTCTTCCCTTCAGGGAGAATAGAGCTGAGAGAACCCCAAAAACAAAGAGCTAGAAAGTAGTGTGAGCGAGAATTCATTTCTGTTTCTGCCGATGGTAAAATGGCGAGTCTCTCCTGACACCAGCCGCTGGAAGACTGAAGACTTGGAAGAAGGATGGAATCAGATTCCTGATATTTTTCTCTATTGGATCTGGGCACAGGACCCCCAGGGCTTTTTCACAGGATCCAAGGGCTACTGCACTGGCTAGCCCCCCAGGGCTTTTTCACAGGATCCAAGGGCTACTCCACTGACTAGCCCAAGCCCTGGTGCAGTTTCCTTAGCTAGTTAGTGATGTGCTGGGTTTTGAAGCAGACTCACTACATAGCCCACGCCTGTCAAACTGGAGAGCCTCTTGCCTTCCCCTCCTGTGAGTGGAAGCACACAGAGGTGCAGCCTACACACACACACACACACACACACACACACACACACACACACACACACCACTTACATATCAGAAGTATGTAGAGGAATTTTAATCCAGTAGCATGGCTACTCTGGCTGAAATTCAGACAGGCCTTTAATCCAAAAGACTGAGGCAAGCAGATAGGAGTTCAAGGCCAGCCTGGTATGGAAGTTTCAGGTAAAGAAACACTTAGATCCAGGCATGGTGCACATCTTTAACCCCAGCACTCAGGAGACAGAGGCACACAGATCTCTGAGTTCTAGTCAGTGCTATTCAGACAGTTTGGTTGAGTCAGGGAAATGAGAGGCAGGCCAGTGGAGTTGAGTTCAAGGCAGTTTAATTCGTGGAATTCAGAGGCAGTTTGACTGGGACAGTTTTACAGAGAGAGGTTGAAGAGAGAACAAGCTAGACACAGGTGAAGGCAGAACAAGCCAGAGAATGAGAAGGATCCAGGAGATTAGAACAGATTGCTGGAGTTAGTTTGAGGCCAAGCAGAGCAATTCAGTCAAAAGCTAAGAGAAGCCAGTTTGAATTAGTGAGCTGGGAGAAGAGTTTGAGCCAAAATAGCTGAGTTGAACCAGCCAGCTATGAGCCCAGAAAGAACTAGAAAGGGTGAGCTTATTCAGCAGTGAGTCTCAGAGGCTGAAACAGTCTAGGCCTAGGTTAGATTATATGGAGGCTAGAAGCTTCCAGGACTAGGCCTAGATCAGCAGACAGAAGCAGTAAGTCTCTGAGACAACAATTAAATCAGGTGAATAAAAGTTACTTTCACGTAAGTGTCACTCTCTGCTGGTGAGGGAAAGAAAACTCATGTCTGTCATCCCAACACTTTGGAGATCACTGTGCATTCAAGGCCAACCTGGGCTACATAGTGAATATAGAGAATATGAGGCCATCCTAGGCTGCCTAGTTCAACCTTCCCCACAAGAAGAGTAGACTGGAAGAGGACTGTGGTCACAAGGATGGCAGTTTATGGGAAGAGACATAACTTAGGGAATGCCTCTCCAGCATGCACAAAGTTCTGGGTTGAGCCCTGGCATTCCAAGAGATTGGACACAGTGATCCATTGACAGGAGGGAGACAGGCCTGGATTGGATGGAACAGGACACAGACAGGTCTCTCATGCTAAACCTTGTACCTTAGGCAAAGAATTTGGTGGCTGACCAGTATGGAATTTTAGATGAAGAAGACCCGAGGATGATTTGAAAGGTTTTAGTGTAATCACCCAAGAAATGGAATCTTTGCTGACTGAAATGAGAAGCAGCTTTGAGGGAAAAGTGTAGGCCTGAGAGTCTTATGAGATAGCCCAGGGGAGATGGAGCACATAGCAGTTCAGGAACAGTTCTGGAGATGAAGGCCAGAGGCGGCTGGGAGTATTAGGAGGCTAGCGCTGACTCAGCGGCAAGCACAGGCAGGGGAGAGAGGCTGTGGAAGACTGGGTCCCCTGACTCTCCTGACAGCGAAGACCCAGAAGCTGAGTCATAGCTGAGCTGTTGAGGCCGCAGGACTATGGGTGTTATCGGCTGGAAGGCCAGCCTTAACAAAGGAAGCTGAGATGGTGAAACAAGGGGTGTGTACGGCTGGAGGGAGTTCGGAGGACTTGGGGAGGGTCTCTTCTTGCTGTACAGAGGAGCAAGAGATGGGATGGACTGAAGAACAGAGGGCCCGGACAGCATCTTCCTGTCTTCCGGTCGTATCTCCGACTGGCTTACATAAATACTCGTACTTAAGTCGTGCAAAAGCAACTGGAAAATAAGGCCGTGCCTCTGAGGGTGAGCTGGGAGGGAGCTCATGGGAGGAAGGAGAAGTGATAAGTGTAATCAAATCATCATCTCAAAAATAAAAAAAAAAGAGTTGAGGGCAAAGTGGATTCGTGGTTTCGGGTAACACCGTAGGGCAATCAGTGCTGAGCAGGTTCCGAGCGGAGCCGGGAATCCTCGGGGCTTAACGGGGTGAGGAACTGAAATCGAAGCGTCTTTCACGAGCCCACAGCCGTCTCAGCCTCGCAGAGGGCGCGTCTCCAAAGGAAGAAAGAACTAGAAAACGAACGAACGGCTCTGTGCTGAGGGAGGGAGCGATATCGGATACCAAAACTACTACCGCTGTGAGCAGGATTCGAACCTGCGCGGGGAGACCCCATTGGATTTCGAGTCCAACGCCTTAACCACTCGGCCATCACAGCCGCGTGCGGCCTTGGGCCCGTGGAGCTATAGCTGCCTATCAAGCCCTCGACCCCTAAGGACTCTGCCGGCTTCTTTCCCCCCCAAAGCTGCTGTGCGCGTGCGCTGAGCCTAAGCTACCGGGTAGCCTCGTCTTGAGCAGCGACCTGGACCCGAGGCCTTGCGGAGCCACCGTGACCCCCAATAAAACCAGTACTTCTGTGCCTCTAAACACTTAAAAGTGCGCAGCAAGGGTCCACGAAGTACACTAGGCAATGGGAAGAGGGACCTAGGGTGGCAGAATTTCCCTTCAGGGTAGGTACCAATAATTCGGCAATAATATACCACGTCCTGTGGCAAACCAGGCACCGCTGGGATTCGAACCCAGGATCTCCTGTTTACTAGACAGGCGCTTTAACCAGCTAAGCCACGGCGCCAACGAGGACAGGGTGTGTGCTTCAAAGTGGATCAGCTGTGAGCAGCAGGAGTGGGGAAAGGGAAGGTAGGACCTAGCGCCTGGCCCAGTCCAAGCTGGCCCTGCCATCACCCCTCCTCAGTTAGACCCCGGCCTGTGTTCAGTTACACCCGGCCTGTGTTCAGTTAGACCCCGGCCTCACTCCTCAGTTACATCCCGGCCTGTGTTCAGTTACACCCGGCCTCACTCCTCAGTTACACCCCGGCCTGCCTCCTCAGTTACACCCCGGCCTGCCTCCTCAGTTACACCCCGCCTGCCTCCTTAGTTAGACCCCGGCCTCCTCAGTTAGACCCTGGCCTGTGTTCAGTTAGACCCCGGCCTGCCTCCTCAGTAGAGGCCTGGCCTTAGGGCACTGCTGTCTTCGCTAACTGAAGCGCCCAGCTGCCGCTGCCGCTGCCTGTGCTGACGCAGAGCTGAAGTCAGCCGACCCACACCACGGTTTTCCCAGTGCTTCCGCCTGCTCCGCCCACAGTACCTGTGACTGCAGCACGCCAAGACCTTAGCCCCCGGCCGCCTCTCTGCCTCTCAGGATAACCAGGCTGAGGCCACGGGAGGTCTAAGAGTTTACCGTGCACAGCAGAGCCCTTTGCTGCCAGGAACGTGAGGGAAGGCGGAGCTCATCATCCCACCTACATCACAACCTCGCTGGCGAGGCGGCGCTCCTCCCCTCACCCAAACTCCCAACTTCATTTCACAAAGTCTTGGGTTCTTGGTTTTTCATTTTGTATTTAAAAAAAATAACAGACACAATATCAAAAACACAAATACCACTGGTAGAGGGTAGAGCTGAGAACACCTGGGTCCCACCTGAGGGGCAGCACCAGGGACTCCATGGTCCACCAACCTCCCCCTGGAGCAGCCGGGGGCGCAGGACCCCTGGATCCCGCGGACCCCAGCTCCCCTCCCCCATCTCAGGATGAGGTGGGGCAGGGAGCTGTCTCCCCCGATAAATAAGTGCAGCCCCAACTCTCTGACTGGGACTCGGGCTCAGCTGGGATTTGGAGAGACCACGTCAGCAGCTTGTCAGCAGCCTTAACCATACAAGGAAAAGTCTCCGCATGGTGGGAGCTGACAACCCTCCATATTAGGCTGGAAACTTCCACCCTCTGCTAAGAGGCCAGAGGCAGCTCCCAGGTCCTGAACTGTAATGGGGGTCCTGCCCCCGATGTTGGGAGAAGCTGGGGCAGGGTCCTGTCGTTTGGTCCAGCCACATCTTGAGTTCTAAGAACCCCAACATGGTTGAAAGGAAGCCTCCCACAGACTGCTGCACGTGGCCCCAAAATGGAGTCTAGCTGGCGCCATTTTGTTCTGCAGGTAAAGCTGGGCTGGATGGGCTTCCACCTTGTTCTTCTTCCTCCATGGCAGAGTCCTGAGAGCTTGAGCCCTTAGCCTCCGTCTGGGTCTGGGCCTCCTCCCCACCATCACCCCCACTCCCTCCCCCCTCGCCTCCACCCTCTTCCATGGGCTCCAGCCCCAGTCCATCCAGTTCTGAGAAGAGCGGGTCATCGGAGTGGCCAGGATCTTGAACGCTGCTACCGCAGTCCACACAGGCCTTGGAGGGAAAGGAAGGGTATAAGTGAGGCAGGATCTTCACTGAAGTCCGCCAGCCCAGAAGCCCAACCTTAACCTAATAGTGCGTCTCAAAGTACACCCCGGAGAGCCGGGCACGGGCACATGCCTGTGATCCCAGCACTTGGGGAGGCAGAGACAGACGGATCTCTGTGAGTTTGAGGCCGGCCTGGTCTACAAAGTGAGTCTAGGACAACCAGGGCTACACAGAGAAACCCTGCCTCAAAAAAAAACAAACCAAAACAAAAATACAGCCCCAAGAAACCAGTCCACACATGCACCTACAGTCTAACAATGTTGCAAAATCTTCTACCCAGGGGACTGGAGAGCCCAGCTTCAAACACCAATACCCCCATGTGTGGCTCAACCACCCTCAACTCCAGCTCTGGATTGCCCTCTCTCTTCTGACCTCTGTGAACAATGGGGGCACAGGATATATATGTATGTATCTATATGTGTGTGTGTCTACACACATTTTTTTAAAGAAAGTGCTCTACGGAGGCTCTACTGTAGGGTAGAATGATGGGCCGGGGAAGTTCTGTAAACACTTGTGACGTGATGTCGTTTAATATCATGTAGCCCAGCAGCAGGCTTATGGAATTAACATCCTTCAGAGTTAATGGCCCAAAGACACTAAGATCAGACTTGAGCTCTCTATCCCTCGGACGTGAGTTCAGCATCTTCCGCCGTAGCCTCTTCCTGGCATCCCAGACTGCTCTTACCATCACATCAAGGGCCCGAGGGAGCTGGCCCTTCCGGACCCAGGAGTGCACAGCACCCAATTCCCGCCGCTGGTCCTCTGAGAAGCGTGGCTGTTGCTTCTGCATGGCCCGGAGCCTCTCCCGGTCTTGCTTCAGCACAGACGCTGAGTCCCTGCGTGAGGAAAGTAAAGGCTAGGATTCAGGGCCAAGACCTGTGGGTCTTCAACCACAGTTCCTTGGTCCAGTGTCTTCTGCACCTTCCCTGAATGCAAGGAAGCTTTCCACACCAGGAAAACGACCCTCAACGTAAGAACTACTGACAAAGACGGGGCTAATGCCACCGTGGGAGCCGCCACATCAGCTAGCCTGGAAGGAAGACCCTCAGGGCATCTGGGTAGGACACACAGGCTGGCGTCTCTACTGCTCTGAGAAGGGAAGATGAGGCCTCTAGTGCTCACCTGGGCGGCACCTGGTATGTCATCATGACATGCTGGTCAGCGTTGGCCATGAGCAGCCAGATGGGATCCTGGAGCACATACTTGATGACCTGGTCTCCAGGCTCAGCCCTGGCCTGGGCAGCCCCAGCCTCGGCCTCTGAGGAGTCGACACTGCCAAAGTACTTGCTTGTGTGGCTGCTCTGACTGCTGCCTGCAGAGGGACAGAGGCCGATGGAGCCAGGCTGCTAGGCAGAGAGGCTTCACCAGGCCACCCTCTCAGGTCACGTGTCCATCTCACTGGCCTTAACCAGCTGAGCCAAGAAGGGGCTTGGCTTCCCACCTTCCCATCTCCATCCTACCCTGGGAGGCCCGGAGGTGGAGCACTCACGAGTCAGGCTGGCTGAGGTGCTCCCCCCTTCGTGGGATCCTGAGCCGGACCCAGAGCCCAAGCCAGAGCCCAAGGAGCCAGAGGCTGCGGAGCCCGTGCCCGAGCGAGAGTCCTCCTGCAGCAGGAGCTCCAGCAGGTCGCTGGAGCCCGACAGTGCATCCTGGTTGGAGGACTCGGTTACCTCCACCTAGACGAGAGGGTGTGGAGGGGACAGGAAGGCAGTGAGGAATCACTCCCGGGCTCCTTCTAAGCGCCTCTGCTGTCGAGGGGAAGCAAAGGAGGCCCACCCGACCCAGCAGATCTTTGGTCCTTGCTCCATGACACAGGGTCAGGCTGAGAGGAGAGCTGACGAGTAGGGGGCATAATGCCAGGCCCTTTCCAGGCGGCAGACACGCTCTCAGAACGTATGCCGATGTGTACTGGCATGTCCTTGCCACCTGCCAGCCAGCCACAACTGTCCCTTCACAGAGGAGGCACCTTGATTTCTGCTTCATTCAGAAACTCGGCTTGCATTGCCCACCCACAGGAAACTGAGCAGCAGCCCAGGAGAGAGCAACCAGGCAGGAGAGGGGCAAGGGCTGAGGGCACTGGAAGGGGGGTGCAGGGAGGAGTTGCTCACCAGTCTGGCCTCTGGCTCAGCGGCCTCCTCACTGGGAGGCAGGGGCCCCGCACTGCTCCCGGGGCCCCCTGCAGCAGCCCCCTCATTGCGGGGGGACTCCTCAAGCTGCAGCAGATTGAGCTGGAGTGGGGAACTGCATCTTGAGTTGAACAGCGGGGAGTCTGGGCGGTGGGGGGGGCTGGAGGGCAGCAGGGGCAGGGATGGAGAAGGTGAATGGGAAGCGGGTGTGGGTGAGCCCTCAACAGGGGCCTGGGACACCCCATATGGATAGCTGGCTGGCGTAGGGAATAGGTAGTTAGGAAGCACCAAGGCCACCATTGGGGTTACTAGAGGAGAAGGAAAAGTAGCCGGGGTTACAGATGCGGGGGCAGGGGGAAGAGGCTGGGGTCCTCCTCGAGGAGAAAACACTGGGAGTGGGTAGGGCTGGACCACTGCTGGGAAGGGGGTAGTTGCTGGGGGCGGGGGCCAGGGTGCAGAAGAGGGCACAGGTGAAGAGTGGGACACATAGCAGGGAGTTTCGGGCCGGGGGGTCTGGTGGTGGCGCGAACGCTTTGCTTTAGATCGGCAGTGGTGTCGGCGACCAGGGGGCATGGGACCATGGTGGCAGCCTGCGGGGAAAGACCAGGGTTAGCAAGGAGCCTGCCGCCTCTACTGCCCTGAAGCTTTGAGGCCAGGCAAAGGGTCCAGAAAGCTGCTCAGCCTGCAGGCAAAATCCACAAGATGGAAGCAGAAGTAGGGGGCGTTTCAGGGAAGAACCACAGGAGCCAGGGGACAGGGGGGTTTATTGTGAAAGGAGCCAGGGAAGGCAAGGCTACACAAGGGTCATGCTGGGCTGTGCAAAACAGAGGCACACTGGCAGAGGAGAGGAGGCAGAGCGGGTCCATGGACGAACAGGCAGGTGACTTCAGTTCACCTGCCAAAAGCCCTCGGGCCACGGCAGCCTGGATTCTTGGCCCGCCAGCTGAAGCTGTGCTCTACCTAACTCAGAACAGAAGGATGCGGAGGGCAGAAGAGCCCAGGCCTCAGTCCTACAGCTGTCTGCCCGGGTCTCCTGCAGGTGCCTAGAAGGGCTATTCTCCATCTGCCCTGGAAGCCCAGCCCCATCCAAGAGTGAGAGTCTCTGCAAATGGCTGTAAGTCAGTGACGCTGAGTCCCGCGTGGCGTCCTGGGCCCAGGCTAGGCCTGGAGCAGCTTACCTGGAACCGGGCACCGCCTGCTTGCCTGAGTGCCAGCCCTGCAGGCTTCCCTCCTCAGCTCGCAGCCTGGAACCCTGGCCTAGCAGGGAGACGCTATCTAGAAGTCTAACTAACAAAGAGGTCCTGACGGTGAAGGCAGCCATCAGCGCAAGCACATCTCCCTCAGCGCCACGTCACCACCCCCAGCAGCCGGCCCCAGGCTGGCCGCGCAGAAGGCAGCTCAAGGAAGGCCCAGGTGGCTACCTCGCTCGCCAGGGGCTGAGGGGGCCACAGAAGAGTTGTCAAGTCCGCGGAGCCTGCCCAGGTCTTTGAAGCGGCTGAGGAAGGCTTGCTCTTCCTTCTGTGTGTGCAGGGACAGCACAGCCTTGGTCAGACCCACTGGGCGATAAGCCTCTGGGTCAGGGGCCACGGTGGGGCTGGGGGCGGGACTCGGCGCTGGGCCAGGGGCAACGCCAGGCAGGTCTTCCATCATGTTGATGTCTAAGAAAGGTGAGATGGGGGAAAGGTGATGAGGACATCAAAGGGGCCAACACATCCACTCCAACCTCCCAATCCAACAGCTCACCAACCCTGGCTGTCACACGGCCATGCCCAGTCACCTCCTTCCCAAGGGGTGACCTGGCCTCAGCTTCCCATGCTCCCAGTCACCCTGGGAGTAAGGAGGGTGCTCAGTCTCCACCCAGCTGACACCCTGCCAGAACTGCCTAGGGTGACACCTCCTCTCAAAAGGAAGCCCACCCACATCCCGCTTTCAGATATTTTTAAGGTCTACCCAAAGACCCTGAGGAGTGTTCAATATTTCCTCATTTAGACCATTCTGTGGTCAGCAGCTCAGAGTTGGACTGCCTCCCCTTAACCCAACTTTTGTTTCAACGGACAGTAAGAGTACAGGGAGGAGAATGGGGTGGGAGCAGCAGAGGTTAGGCGGGTAGACAGTGAGGAGCAGCAGAGCCCCAAGCTAACGAGGTGGCCTCTTCTCTCCACTGGGGGTGGGAAGGAAAGGCAGGCAGGAAAGCTCTGGCTGAGGGACCCCTCACTGCACGCCCGTACCCGACTCCGGGGGCTTCTTGTCTCCCACATGGACGATGGTGGAGCTGAAGCTACACTGACTGGTGACGGACACCACGCTCTCCGCCTTATTGGCCAGGGCGAGCGGGCTCAGGGTGCCTCCCACCACTGGCTCCTTCCGAGGACCGGCCCCCTCCCCAGACAGCACTGCTGACGACGGATCTGTGCGGAGAGACGGCAAGGTCAGGAGAGGGAACCCCAGGGCGGAGAGGGGAGGACTAGCTAGAGGGAGGAAGCTGGAGGTCGGGAGGCAGGAGAGGAGGGCAGGGAAGAACAGGCGGGAGCCCCCAAGGCGGAAGAGCATAGGCCGGGCCAGGCTGGGAGGGGGTCATGGGGGCTGGGCATGCCACGGGTCTGTACCTTTCTTGGCCCCCCCAGGAGCTGGGCCCGCCCTCTGCTTGTCATCATCAGAGGCTGAAGAGGCAGTGTAGGAAGAGGAGGAGGCACATTTACGCTTGGTTGTACTGGGAATGTTGCAGCTCTCCAAATACCTGCCGATGGACAGAGCAGAGGGTTTAAGGGCAGGCCCTGGGACAGACAAGGCAGGGTCAAGGGAGAAGGTGCCTGGCAGGCCTCACCTGAGGATGCTGTCCAGGCAGTTGATCTGCTGGTAAGAAGAGCCAGAGGCTTCTTTCCTCTCTGGCTCCTCAGAGACCAATGCCAGAGGTGCTTGGTCAGGGACAGGGGACACCTCCAGTTCGGGGTTTGAGGACTGACAGGGAAGGACTTTGGCCTTGGATGTAGCAGTAGCTGAGGCAAGGAAAAGATAAAAAGTAAACAGGCTAAGAGGAGGAAGGAGGGACCCTCAGGCCTTAGTCCTCTGCCTGCTCCACGGTGTCACCTACTCACCCAGGAGGCGGGGCCGGGGCGGAGGCTTGGCCCGGGACTCAATGAAGAGCTGCTGACCCTGGTGCTTCACTAAATGTACGTCCTTACAGATCTGCTGGAAAGTCACCTGGGGGACAGCAGAGCATGGGCAGCCTTGGGTGGCCGGTGCCAGGGGCCCACGTACCGTAAGAAGACCTAGAGCCTAGGCGGGGGTGGCATGAGGGATTGGCAATCATGATCCCTAAGAAAGTGCCCATTGAGGAAGGCGGCTACTCACTGGAGCAGGAGGCCCGGGCCCCTCGGCGTCACCCGCGTTGCTGTCACTGGAGGAGCCAGGGCTGTGTAGAGGACCAGGGGACATCAGAGGGCCAACTCCACAGAGCCCCGTGGGGCTGGAGCTGTGCACAGGCTGCAGAGAGAAAGTGGCATCATCAGTTTCTCCACCCTCCCCCTCAGCCCTCATCCTTGAGGCCCTCCTCAGCCCTCACCTGCAGTAGCAGGCGATGGATCTGCTCTGAGAGCTCCTGTATATCAGAGTCCAGAGACAGAGCTGGGCTGGGGGCTGGGGGAGTGAAGACGTCCTCGTTCAGGGGTGCCCTGCGGGGTGGGAAAGGCCAGTTCAGTCCCGTCGTCCTTAATCTTGTCTTTTTTCCTCATCCCCGAAGCCAACTCAGAGAAACAGCTCACTTACGTGCGTACTTTATGGCGGCCCAACACGAAAGCCACCTTGCGGCTCCAGGGGTGCACAAAGCCGGCCCAGCTGGTGTCCATGGTGACATATTCCCCATTTCGAGCGCAGAAGCGAATAGGGGAATGATCAAAGGGCTGGCCTGCCAACTGCAGAACTGTGGGAGCAGGAAAGAAAGTGGGCGTCAGTGGGTGGGAGAAAGAGACACATACAGACAGCAAGAGACCAAGGCATCGAGAGCAGCGAAGAAGCTCTGGGGCCAAGCCGGGAGGGCGAGCAGGACGACAACTCACTCTTCTTATGAATGGCCAGCATGAGGGGCCGGTCCTCGGGATGCAGGAAGAGGAGCACCGGAGCCCCCAGGAGATCCTGGGGTAGGTAGCCCAGCAGCGGGGCGGCCCTGCAATGAGAGGCGTCAGCCCCTGGCCCTGGCCTGGCCGCCCCGCTCTCCCGAGGCTGCGCCGCGCCTCACCTCTCATCGACATCCTGGAAGAGGCAGCTGGGTGTGTGGCGTGTGGTGAAGATCCTCTTGTCTGGAGGGATGCGGGGCGCTGCAGGCGGAACACAGAGGTCACATCAGTGATCCAGCTCCTCGGCCCTCCTCCCTGCCTCAGGTCCGGCTACCCGGCAACCCTCCTCTCAGCTCAGCCCTGGCTTTACAGCCCACAGGGCGTGAGTCATCGGTGACTCACAGCAGAGATGGCTCTGAGCATCAGCGATGTGCTCCTCCTCCTCAACTGTCACAGCTCAGGGGTCTCTCCAACCTGAACTCTCTTTCCTTACACTTCCTTGCATCCTAAGGACCCAGCGCGTACCTCCCAAACTCTCTCCTTGGCCTTCAGCCCACCTGGAGGAAACCCTGCCTCCCATCACCCGGCCAGAGCCATCGCCTCCCCACCTTCATAACCAGAATGGACGCGCTCAGCAATGAGCAGGCAGCATGGCTGTGCAGGGGCCCCATCTGAGACCCGAATCTTGGTCACATATGGGGTTAGGCGGAATGGCTGGTACCGAGGCCCCGGGTTGCGGTCAGGACCTCCTCTGGCAAGGGAGAGATCAATGTTAGAGGTTTCCGGGGCAAGCTGCCCCTGTCCCCTGGTCCAAGCAGCAGCCCATATAGCAGAGATGAGTAGCAGAGAGGGGCTTGCTCCTAATCCCCTGCCCACCTGATTCGGCAGAAGACAGACTTTTCCTGGGTGAAGTCCTTGAGTCCTGAACCTAGGATGGATGAGAAGGACAGTGAGCAGAGCACCACCCTTTCCTGGGCTGAGATGAGCTCAGCCAGTGAAAGCTTAGGTCCAGGCTGCTGCTTCCCAGAGCTGCTCAGTCCTCTCCACAGAATAAAGGTGCTGTACCTGCAGAGGCCCCAGTGCCCCAGGTGGGCAGTCGAGATGGTGCAGTGGAGCCATAGAAGACACCCACATCCTGGGGAGCCAGGAGCTCTGAGAAGCGGGCACCCCGAAACACTTCCCTCTTGCAACGCAGCAGGACACCTGCCTGCTCCGAAATATAGACAATCCGGCCTGTCAGGAAGGACACGGCCACAGAGAAGGTATCCTGGAATGAGACCAAGATCAAGAGAAGATTTAGGAGCTACAGGAGCGGGAATGAGGGTGCGTGAGGACAGAGCACCCAAGCTGCAGCTGACCTGGTTTCGAAGCGTGTATTCGGATGTGATATGCTCCAGTTCCTCCAGGGTGTAAGTAGACATGTCCATGGCACAAGGCTCACCCTCCTCCAGACTCCACTGCTGGTAATATTCCTGGTTAGCTGTACATCGAGGGAAGTCAAGCCACAGTCAGTAAGGAGAATGGCTCCTACACCAGTCCACGTGCTGGCCACGCCCTGCCAGGAAGCCCCACTCACCCTGCACCTGCTTGACACAGGCCAGGGCATACTGGAGGGTGGCCAGGGTCCCGGAGCGGCCCTTGCCCCGACGCTCGGGTGGCAGCCGAAGTTTGAGCTCCCGGAGCGCAGTCATGAGTTCTTTCTGGGTCCTAGCTCGGGCTGATTGTTCACTGCTGCAAGGCCCACAGGGAAGGAAGGGTGAAGACGTCAGCCCCAGGGTCTGGCCGCCTGCCCCGGGTGTCACCCATAGCCCTCACCCCACACACCTGCAGCCACTGGTAGACGGGTTGTCCTGCTCTGAGCTTGCGCTCAGAAGGCTATAGGCAATGGAACTGCTGGGTGGCGATGGGCTGTGTGAGTTTGTGCTAGAAAAGACGCAACAGGGTAAGGTGACGGCCAGGTGATCCACAGCACTGTGCTATCGCCTACTTCGCCTCGCCCACAGAGCCACTTCCCGACTCGGCAGTACACAAGCACCCACGCACACACGCACCACACGCACCCACACGCACAAACGCACCTCTTGCTGCTCTCAGTGGTCTCCAGCAGGGCTGAGTCCTTGCCGTTGCCAGAAGAGGAGCTATGGGAGCTCCGCTGAGACGCCCCCCTGGACTCATGTCCATTGGACTCATTGCCACTTGAGCCATTGCTGTTCGCATCCGTGTCATCAGCTAGGCCGGGGCCTGGACAAGGCCGGTGCTGCGGGGCCCCAGGGGATGGGACTCCTCCAGGACAAAAAGGTTCTCCGGGCCTGGGGTCTCCTGCCCCTTCAGCCCCTTCTAAGGGGCCGCTCATATCTGGGCCATGCAGCAGAGGACAAAGCAGGGAAGGTGAAGAGGCCACTACAAGTGCGCAACGGGGCCTGTGAGGCCTGGACACGGGAGGTAGTACGCCTGTCTCTGAGGGATGACTAATTTAATCACAGCACCTGGAAAAGGAAAAAGAGAAGGAACGTTTAGCAAAAGCTGGGCCACAACATCTGCAGGCTCACTCAGTCCTTCCTCGCTGTCCCTCACTGCTGGGACTCAGGCCTGGGGCCTGCAATAGAAAGGTGTGTTTCCTATTCCCCTAAGGACACCACAGGTAGGAAGGCAGCTCTCTTGGGCCCTCTCCCACACCGCCTGCCAGTGTGTGGTGGGTGAGCCTAACGATCTGAATACGGCTGTGGGTCAAAGCTTGCAGGTTTCCATCCTCAAATTCTCATCAGGTCTCCACCTGGTCTGGGACTCTGAGGCCGCAGAGCAGGGGGTGAGCTGATCGCCTCCTATATTTAGGCTTCCGGGCTAATTTTATCCGGGGGCGGTGCCACCCCCGCTGCACATGCGCACCGATGTGCCTGGCCCCACCACGCGCTTCCGCCACAGCCTCGGTCGCCAGGGAAACCGACGTCAGTCGCTGAGCTCAGCGGTTGCTGAGGGACCACAGGAGGGCAGGAGCGACCCTTCCCCCAACCACCTATCGCTGTCACTGTGCAAGTGGGAAACTGACCCATTCCCAACACTGCCCAACCCACCCCCATACTGGCGGCAAGGCCCGGGGCGGGGTTGGGGGTGAGAGCGAGGTCACCCACCTTAACAAATTCCCGGGGCCCAGAGAGCCCAGTAGCCATGTAAAGACAGACCCAGGGACTCCAGGAGCAGGTCCCAGCCTCCCCAGGGAGAAATGCACAGCCTCTGCTCTCCGGGAAACGCCCCCATCCTAGCTCTTGCCTTGAACATCACTCAGATCAAGACCCTGCCCACTCCCCAACACCAGGACTGGAGGGTCACTCGCCATAGCCAAGGTCCGGGCATCTTCCTCGGCCCCTCACTCTAGTTAACTCCACCGCTACCTCCCGGCCTCAGGCAGGGGACACAGGACAACCCACACGCAGCGCTTTCTCTACTCCCTGTCTAACCACACCCCCATCCGAGTAGTTCCCCAGCACCAGGAGAAAAGGGAAGGCTGTGGCCAACTGCAAGAACCAGCGCGGGGAACAGGATGTTCCAGCCTGAAGCGGCTGACATCACGACCGGCATGGGGCCAGGGACTGGAGGGAGGACGGGCAGGGAGCGCGAAAGCCTGAAGGATCCCAGGTACCCCGAGTGTCGAGAAAGGTGTAAGGGGTCGCGTTTACCCAAGGTCTGTGGTTGGGCTTAGGACGGCTGCCATGAAGGAGAACAGGAGATAGGTGAGCGAGTAAGAGATGCGGCCAGCCGAGGCTGGGGGCGGGAAGGGGTGGACAGTGACAGGAAAGGCACATTACTGTTTTGCTCTCTGAGAGCTGGAAGTGACCCACCCCGCTGGAAGCAGTGGCGGCCAGGCTCCGGGACAGGATTAGCCCGAGGATTGCAGCAGAGATCCCTACCTGGCCTTTCGAGCGCCCTCCAGCAGCCTGCCGCTTCAGCCCGCAACGGAGAAGCTCCGTGAGGCTGGGAGGCGGGTTGCATAATGCCAGGCCCTGCCTCATTGGCCTCCTGCCCGACGAGCCGCAGGCCCCGCCCCCGGCTGGCTAAGGATCTCTGCCTTTCATCTGATTGGCTAGGGTCCCCCACTGAGGTCAGGGCTGTGTCACACACATCCTTGCACGTGGACTTGGGTGCTGGTGCTGGGCTGGAGGGCCTCAGTCAGCCAATGGGCTCGGGATGCCTCACACAGTGGATAATGAACGGGAAGCGAGGGAACGGAAGCTACCCCTTTTCAGGGAAAGGCCTGCGCCTCCGTGGGTGCTCAAGAGAACCCTGCTTCCTGAACTGAGCGGCTCTGTCTGGCGCCCACGGGAGATGGGAGAGAAAAACCTAGGCTGCCATGCCCTGGCTTCTCTCTACCTCTGTCATAAAGAAGTCGCCCCCTTCCTCTGACACTCCAGATCCCGGGAGAACGGCAATCGAGGGTCCACGTGTCCAGAAGGGCTGAGTGGGTGAGGGGAGGACGCAGACAATGGAAGGGGCACCGAGAGCCAGTGGCTACCGGGAGAGGAGACAAAGCAGGTACTTCGTCAGCCAATCAGAGAAAAGGTCTCCACTCGCATTTACAGCGGCCAGGGGGGGTGGCCAGGAAGCCGGGACAACAAAAGGGGGCAGCAGAGAAGGCAGCCGAGGCCCTAGGCAGAAAAAGGGGGCGGGGAGGACTCCACACCATTGGTGCTGAGAGAGAAAGCCAAGGTTCCGGAGCCCGGCAGCAAGCTCGCCCGACCCGTTTACGCTCTCTCAGCAGCGAGCCAGTCGGCGTCCGCACTGCGCACGCCGGGTCGTCGGCAAACATGACCACTTTACGTCGAGGACAGGCGAGGGAGAGGGAGCCTCGGAAGGGCAGCAGAGCACCCGCTCATAGCGAACAGGGGCGTGACTGGGGGTGGGGGACGAGGCGCCGGAGCGGGTCCTCTCCGGCCCTGTGCGGAGTGGCTCTTCTCAGGGTCCCCGGGAAACGTAGGCGGCGAGAGAAGAGGCCACCACCAGCAGCTGACACAGCCGGCGCTAAGTGCACGCCCCTCGTTGTCACGTGGCTAAAGCTCTCCTTCACAATGGTGTTTCCCTTTGGAGGAGGCGGAGAGGCAGGGGCAGGGTTCTGTGGAAAAGCTGGGGCACAGAAGGGTTAGAAACTAACCCAGAAAAACAGAAGCAGGAAAGCACAGAAGGCAAGACACGGGAGTCCGAACTCTCAGCTTCCTCTTCCTGAAAGTGACCCTGCTCGCCTGCCCCTCGCCCTGTGTGTGACCCCGTTCTGTTTCCCTCGCTCCTTCCACGGCTCTCAAGGATTCAGGTGTGACCCCTCCGACCCAAACAGCCACGGCTCGCCCACCTCCGTAACTGCCACTCACAGGGACAAAAGGTTTCAGCACCCCCGCAGCCCCCGCCCGACCCCAAGGTCCAGGCTGTCGGCCGCAGTCCCCACGGCAACCAGGCTCTGCTGCCGTCAATGGAGAAGAGGGGGCGGGAGACAGCGGTGACGTCAAAGCGGAGGAAGGGGGCGGGGCGAGGCGGCCCGGGAATGTGGGGCAGGGAGGCTGGAGAGGCCGCGGTTTGGGAGGCAGCCAGCCCCAGAGGGCGGCGGCCGGCGCACCAGGGAACATCGTGTTCTCTTGGCTGCCAGCCCAGGACATGCACTCAGCCTTGGCGCCTCCCCCGACCCAACGACAGCGGTCCTGTACAAAAGCCAAGGATTCCTGGAGAGACGGTTAGGAGGAAGGGGTCCTCGCGCCTGGCTCTCTTTTCCGGATTTGCGTTTGCCCTTCCCCTCAGCTGGGTTCTCACAGCTCCTGGCGTTGGCTCCCCACCCCACCCCCTTCACCAAACTGTACGCAGCTGCTGGCCAGGTACCAAAGAACCAGGGCGGGTAAATTGGAGGCCCAGAGTCGGAGAGAATGCGCACCTTTGCTCCTTTCCAGAGGCCCCCTTCAGAGGCAGAACTTCTAGTAACATAACAGCACAGGGGGGAAGGTCGGGAAGAATGGATTTAAGATTAGGAAGTCAAACTGGGACGGAGCAAATAGCCTCAGTCTGGGCCCAGATCTTAGGAGAGGAATACTGGGGAAGAATGATGGAATTTGGGCTGGTGCCTGAAGACCAGAAAAATCAGGAAGAGGGAAAAGAGGAGTCATCAAAACTTGCAGAAAAACAGAAGATGCGGATTGCTCTCAGCCACAGCATTCACACAAATCCCTAACTCTGTCACTATTGTTTTGTTACCTTATAGTTTGTAAATGACCCAAGCGTTGTGCTAAGTACTTTACATGTATTGTTCTTATTTAAGCCCTGAACAGCGGAAGGACATGCGAGTCAACTAAGACTTAATATTAACTAAACCTGCCTTGTCTGCTTCATAGACATGTTCTGAGCTTCCTAATAGTGGAGCCCGAGGTTCAAGCTCTAATGACGGCTTGTCCTTCGGGCTTCTCATCCTTGGGGACCCTGTGAAATGTCACCAAACCTCTACGCCTGCACTGTCAAACCAGGACTGCAGGGGGAAGTATTCCCCTGGTTCTAGGTTTGGCGCCTAGTACACAGACTGCGCTCCGTCCCTTCTCTCCCTTCAGTCTGATCTCGAGGCGCTGTTTGTTCTCGATGCACACTGTCATGGTTCATTTTCTTCAATGATCAAAAACCTTGGAGATCAACAGAGAAGCCGCTAGCCCCAACGCCTTCCTTGGACTCTCACTTCCTCCCTCGCCCAGGCCCGACTGTCTAGACACAGCAGCCTTTCGGTAACGCCTCATCTCTAGGTGGAGAAGAGTGGACAAGTGGTATACAGAAACCTTCTACCCAGTCCTCCCTTTCAGAATCCAACAAGTTGCTCTCCCATTTCTGTTTTCCAAGCGTGTTCCTGCGGCCCCGCAGCTACCCTCTCCTCGTGAAAAAGTAAGCCCACGGTCGAGATGAGCCCCCTGGGTCCCACACAGCAACGCACCAGCCTTTCTCGGGTCCCCACCTGCGCTACCACCTTTCTCCGGCCTCGGAATCTCTGCCCCTTCCAAGTGTTCAGGGAGCCTACACCAGCCTTAACCAGCTGCCAGGGGCCCCATCGCAGGCGCGAAGGCAGTAGGTCGGGGGCCCCGGGCTGAGCCAGATCTGGTGCTGGTAAGTCCCAGCCCTGTCCCCCCCAGCGCGTCCCCCTCTCCACACCGCCAAGCCGCCACTGCGGCTCTCGCGCATTTGCATGATCCCACACACACGCCACGCCACGGACACCCCTTTTGGCCGAACACACCTCCCGGAAAAGCCATCCCGACCGCCCCGGCGCAGGGGGCTACTCACGGCTCCGAGCGCGCGCGCGGAATACAGATTTCTCCGCGGCCGCGGGCGTCGGGCAGCCACTCCGCAGGTTCCGCCGGGCCCGCCCACCGCCCGCTCGGCCACGCCTCCCGAGCTTATTGGCTCAGAGGCGCCAGCCCATGCCCCGCTCCGCGTGCAGCCGGCAGGCCCCTGCAAAGCCACCATTGGCACTTCAGGCCGCGGCCGCCGTCCCATTGGGCAACATGACAACCGGTAGTGACAGCGCCACGTGAGGGAGGGGGCGCCCCAGCGCGTTGATTGGACCTTTGGCCGGAAGCCACACCCCTCGCCCACTCCCAGAGTTTTTATTGGCTGTGGCGAAAACCCCGCCCTGCCCGGGCCGGTGACGCAATGGCAGCCCTGCCCTACAAACTTTCTCATTGGCGGAGCGGGCTCGGAGCTGTAGGGAACACGTGCAGGCCGGCTCACGCGGCAACTTGTTTACCCAGAAGCTGGGGATTTTCCTTGACGACACTCTCCAAGGCTGAGGCGTCTGCGCAGGCGCGCAGAGCGGCTTGTACGCAGGCGTAGATGTGACCGGCGATGGCGTAGTGGGGATGCTTTGCAGAGACCCTGGCATGACGAGGCGTCTGGTGCCCAGCTTTGTGTCTGTCGATTCGCGAAGCTTAAAAATCCGAGCGCTAGCGTGAAGAGGTCTGTGTGTGTGTGTGTGCGTGTGTGTTTTCGAGTCAGGGTTTCTCTGTGTAGCCCTGGCTGTCGTGGACTCGCTTTGTAGACCAGGCTGGCCTCAAACTCACAGGGATCCGCCTGCCAGTGCCGGGAAAACGAGCAAAGCCGTCTTTAGAGTGCATGACAATGATGGCGAAAATGACAGTCACCCCCTTATTTCTTTTGTACTGGCCTGGCTGGCCAGAGAAGGCTGGTCCACTACCTGTAACCTCACGAAAGAGACAGATCCCGAGGTTACATAACCTGTCGGAATTAAACCATGTTAGCATGTTCATTAAAGAGCTAAAGTCTGAACCCAGGCTGCTGACACTGTAGCTCGGTGTCTTAGGCCTATGGAAACCTTAAACCTAGAATTCCAAGGATTTAATGAAAAAAGCCTAACATACTGAAACTCTCCGTAAAGGGAGAAGTTAGGATAGATTGTTGTTAAATATGAGATACCTCAGCACCTTAGAACCTCTGAAATCTGAAGGGCCTGAAAATCCTTTTTTTTGTTTGGGGTTGGGTTGTTTTGTTTTTCTAGACAGGGCTTCTCTGTGTATCACTGGCCATCCTGGAACTCGCTCTGTAGACATGGCTGGCCCAAACCCAGAGATCCATCTGCCTCTGCCTCCCAAGTACCAGGCTCTGACAATCTATTTCTTAAAAATGCCTCTAAAATGGTTATTTCTTAGCCAGATATGTTGGCACCCACCTTGAATTCCAGCACTCCAAGACTCACTCTACATAGTGAGATCCTATCTCAAAAAACAAAACAACTCATTTATTTCTTTAGACAGGTCTCATTCTGTAGACCAGGCGGCCTCCAACTCAGAGATCTGCTGCCTCTGCCTCCCGAGGGCTGGAGTAGAGGTGTGCGCCACCGCCCCAGCTGGATCCTCCGGTGGTTCTTAACCAGGCCTCTCTCTCTCTCTCTCCCATCAGCTGCCCTGGAGGGGCGAGGATCCTTCAAGTACCACATTCACTGGCAGTGACTAGTCCCTCACACCTGCCTACTTCCTATGCAGCCACATCCCAGATGCTCCTGAAGTGCATGGGGACCAGGATGCTGACGGTGCTTGGAGAGCTCAGGAGGGGCTAGAACAACAGTCACACAACGGAGTGCACAGGGAATGGCAGTCCTCAGGCAGCTTCATCTCCTCAAGCTGGTCCTTGCAAGCATTCATTAACCCATCTGGTCGCCTGGCACTGTGCTGGACAGGGGAAGAAACACCTCCCCAGAAGTGGCTCAGGAGTGTGTGGCTAGAGAGCCTAAGGAGTAGCTAGAAGTGAAATTTAGGAGATAAAGGAGGTCAGTTGGTTGCAGCATACTCCAGGCCAGCGAGTGCGAAGGTGGGAATCCCATGCTGCATAGTTCACCTGGCTCAGGCGGCAGGTACTTTAGTTACACTTCCGAGTCTCACCTGCTGGTGCCCCGTGTGGCCACTTCGGGAATGACACTTTGAAAGGGCCCAAGGTCAGGGCCTCCTGCAACAGGCCAGCTTCTCCCAAAGAATCTTTCAACCATCCCCGGCCTGAAGAGCCCATACTCTCACTGCTGATTAAGAAAAAGGTATCAGACACCACCTGGTTACTCATTACACGTTTATTGTACATTTTCACAATCTGGATGCGCCACAGAATTGGGGGCATGGGGTAGGGGAAGAAGGAAGGCAGGGGACACTGGGATAATATTGGGGGTCTAAAACACAAGCACCCCCACCCCCAGCATCTCTCCTACCCTTTCACACCACAGTTTAGATCTCCTTGGTTCCCCTCCACACAGAAAACCTGGTGTAGGGAGGGAGAGTTTGAGGGTACCCCCAGTGGCAGGTTAAGGGGCTGTACCCTCAGACCCCTAAAACTGTGCCATTTTAAAAGATTAGATCCTTCCTCTTATCGTTTCACCCAACAAGGGAACAAGGGAATAGCTTGTTCTCTCTCTTTCTCTCTCTCTCTCTCTCTCTCTCTCTCTCTCGGCTCAACAGCCCTGGAGAAGGATGGGGATCCCCATTCTCCAGCAAGTCCCATACCCATATTGGCAGTGACTAGTACCCCACCTGAATACAGGGGGCAGTCAGAGGAGCTGGGCAGTGATGGGGGTAACACCCCCAGATTGGGGAGGAAAGATTTCAGTCCAACCTCTAGCAAGGACGAGGCCAGAGATTTCAGGAGGGACACGGCAGTGATGACCCCACACCCTGGAGCCACCCCCCTCAAAGAGTCAGATTGTGGTCGGCCCCCAGTTCTCCTGGTGAGAGGGGGCAGCGGGTCAGGCAGATGGGAGGGAGGGAGGCCTCCTGGGAATGTCAGCTGAGTGCCCCACATGAAAACTGGGGAGCAGGAATGTAGGGAGAGACCCCGAGTGGCAGAATTATTGGTCCGTCATAACACACTAAACTCCACAACACTTACACACCAGCTGGGGGGAGGGAGAGGAGGGTACACGAGGTTTGGAAAATGGGGTAAGGGAGGCAAACTAGACTAGAGGGGCTGGGAAGGGGCAATTCTGGGGTCCAGAGCAGCCTGGTTCCCCAAAAGCCCAGGCTCCCCATCACCTGCAGGTAATGTCGTGCAAATAAAAGTGTGATAAGAGGACCAATGGAGACTAACTCTTCAAAAAAAGAAAGAAAGAAAAAAACACAGAGTGAAGAGTAATGGAACAAAAAGCAAGGAAACAGAAAAAGACCTTGGTATGTAAATGATATGCTAATCAACATGTTGGAAGCTCCCAGAAAACCTTGGGATTCTTAGGACCAAGTGGAACCAGTCTCAGAGCCTCCCGAGGGATACAGAGATGCTACCTAGGGAAGCCTGGACACGTGGAGTGTTCTGTTTCTGTGGGGTTGGTTTTTGTTTTGGGAGGGTCAGGAGTTGTCCAGGGAAGATAGGGAAGGGTCCAGGGAAGATAAGGAAGGGAGGAGGGGCTATTGCATAGCAGATGCAAATGAAGGGACTTGGGCTGACCAGGGAAAGAGGAAAAGGGACAGAGGGTGAGAGAGAGAGGTGATGGGAACCTCAGGAAGGGGCCTTAAGGACAACCGGAAAAAATCTTCTAGTAATAAAACTACAAACAGACCAAATATATATAATATTATATATGTATAAATAACAGCTGGCTATTTACAGGGGCACACACACGGACACACACACACACATACACACGGATCCAAGGGAGGGGGCTGAAAGATATGGCTGAGAGGTGAAGGAACGGCTGGGGGTGGGGGAGAGGCCCTTCTTAGGCAGGGCAGACTCCTCAGGGATTTAAGTGCTGAAGTAAACTGTGGAGAGAGGGCAAGAGGAGGATGAGGGAGAGGGAGAGAGAGAAAGAAAGCAGTGTGTCAGGCCTGGCCCTGTTCCAAACCTCCCCACTCCCAACTGGATGACATCCCTTCCCATCTCTCAGCCTCAGCTTCCTCAAAGAGACTTGACAAGTGGGTACTTCGATCCCTTAAACTCTAGGAAAAAGGGGCATAAGCCCTTTAAACCCTGGGCCTGTGACTACAAGCTCTCAAATGGTGGGGTAGTCTCGTGTTCAAGCCCTGGACCTTTCCGGTCTCCTACTTCCCAGTTTTAGGATCCCCAGACTGAGCTCTGTGGCCCAAAGGGTTCTTAGTGAAGCACCAGGCACCCACCCAGTAATTCCAGTCTCAAAAAATCTTAACCAAAATTCCCCAGAACCAGGCAAAGTCAGGTTACACAGTTTTTGGCTCTAGATGAATCAGAACTGTCAATAGCAGCAAAACGTGTTTTGGTTGAAGAGTAAAAACTAGGTTAATGACCTTCAGAACCCAGAATCCACAGGGAAAAGCTCGACCTCCAGGGAAAGGGCCCTGACCACTCCCTCCCCACTCACCGATGATGATGATGAGGATGATGGCGCAAATCACTCCCAAGATTATCATCATCTAGGGGTGAGAGAGGGGTGCATGAGACAGGCTGGCACCCCCACTTGCCCACCACCAGCCTACCCGCCCCCAGCCCCTTCCCCTGCACCTTGAGGTTTTTCCACCAGTATTTGCGCTTGAGCTTGGCTGCACTTGTTTCAAACTGGGAGGCCCCGGCCTGGAGGGCGTCCGCGCGATCGTCCAGCTCAGACAGCTTCTGGTCCCGCTCCAGGACCTTGTCCACGTTCACCCTCATGATGTCTACCACCTGGGGGAGGGGCCCACGAGGCACGCCTCAGGGAGGGCACTTCTTGAGCATGTGCCCACTGTGCCACACACGGAACATGCACCCCGATGTTTCCCGGCTAACATGCCAAGGACATACACAGAACATGCCTAGCACACCTGGGGACATGCAAGGAGCACACATCAGGGGCATGCTGCAGCCATACAGCTCAGCTGTCACAGCAACACCCTATCCACGGAGCCTGCATCAGCCTGCCACCAGAGCACACCTGACCCGGCTGGCACACCCCAGGCCGGCACAGCTGGGTAACACCCCACTGCCCCTTCAAGTGCACGCTGACAAGGAGACAGAAGGGAGATGGCAGGTCTCTGACCAAACCCCACCAGCGTAAACCACCTTCAACCCAAGATGGGTTCCCACACCTGTTTGCCACCCCGCCATCATGCACCTTTGACACACACACACACACACACACACTCACCTCATCCACCTGGGCCTGGGTCTGCTGCAGTCTCCTGTTACTGGTGAGATTTGGAGGGGGTGCAGGGGGGCCACCCTCGCCGGCCGGGGCGGCGGGCGGGACGGTGGCAGCGGTAGCCGACCTGAGGAAGAGACACGGATTAAGACTCAGGGCCTGAAGCCTCCGGCCGGGGCTCCACCCATCCACCTGTCCATCCGTGGTCCCCCAGCCCTCTCGCACGCGAGGAAGGCCACCCGGTGGGAGACACGGTCGCCCCACCGCCCCGCTGGGTGAAGCTGCGTGACCTTGACGGACCCTCCCCGTGCCTCAGTTTCCCCGCCGGCTAAAGGAGGGCGACCTCAGAGATGCCGCCCGGGGTCCACCCGAAAGGGCTGCGGGCCGCGGAGACGGGGGCGGGGCGGGGCGGAGGCCGGCCGCCGGCTGCGCTCCTTCCCGCGGCCATCCGTGCCGAGCCGCCCGGGACCGGGCTCCGGGCGTCCCCGCGCAGCCTCGGGCACGGGAGGCGCGGGCGGGACCCCCGTGCTCCGCTGCCCGCCCGTGCGGTGGCGGCCCCACGCGGGCGGGACGCCGCGGGCGGCGGGTGCCGACTTACATGGTGGGGGCAGCGGGCAGAGGGCTTGGCGGAGGCGGCGGCGGCGGCGGCGGCTCGCGCTGGCTCCCACTGGCGCTGGCTGCCCGGGACTGGAAGATGGCGGCCGCGCGTCACCCGCATCCGGGCACTGCGGCGGGGGCGGGGCGCGGCAGGCGACACGTCGCTGGCGGCCCGCGGGCGGGCGGGGGCGGGGCGCTGCGGGGCCGGGGGTCCTCGGTCTGCTCGGGTCTGTCTGGCCTACGCTGGGGGTCCGTCCGCTCGCAAGCCCAGCCCTAACCGAGACCCACAGGTCACCCCTAGGCCGCATCCTCCCTCCTCCCTGAAGCCGAAGCTCGGGTCCTGGCCCCAAACAGCCCGAGGTCTCACCCTGCACCCTGCAACTGAAAGTCCCACAGGGCGCCTTTGACTTCCTTGCAGGGTACGGGCCAAGGAGTAACAGAAGCGCCCCGCTCCCCGCGACACACACACGCGTGCACTAAGAGCTGTGGAAGCTGCCCCTGTTCTCAGGTGAAGTTCAGGCCGTGTGTGCTTGGCAGTCCAAGCTGGAGTGGGCCCAAATCCAGTCAAAGATGAGACGAGCTAAAGACTCCCGGAAGGGCAAAGGCTGCTGTTATCACATGCTGACTGCAGGCTGGTCCCCAACTGCCCCGCCTCAGCTTCGATGCTAGCTTAGGGCCTGGGCCAAGAAAGGACAGTAGGACAGGGTGGCACCTGTAGTGCTCAGTTAGAGGCGCTGCTTTACATGCGGATTAGACATGACCTTGACGGAACCAACTGCCTCTCCCTGGACCCTGCATGCATCACATACGTAGACCATAAATATTTGTTGATACAGACAACACAATAGGGTGTCATCTTAGACCTGGTCCATCCCTGACGGCTCCATTTTAAGTCCACCAAGCAGCCCTAGCAGCTGCACACACACACACACACATACACACACCCAGGCTGCGTCTACAGAGAGGTAGGACGGGGGAGGGGGGCAGCTGCTTGTCCAGCAAGCCTCCAGCCTGAAGGAGGCATTCTAGGGGAGGCCTAGTGGCTCTGAGGTGGGGGAGGACTCCTTGCATCCTAGGAGAGCCTTAATCCCGAGGCGGGCAGGGTCTGGCTTTCCTCCTCCCACTCGGGGCTTCCCAGGGCCCCCAGCGTGCTGCAGTGCCCGCCCCCTCCCAGCAGGCGCCTCAGGACCGGGTTTTGCAGTCAGAAGTGTTATTTCCCAGCTGTCTGGGGGAGGTGAAAGAGCAGGGCAGTATGTGCTGGGTGCAGGATTCGCTCGGCGCTACTTCCCTTCCCCCGAGCAGCCTCCAGCCTCGTCTTTGTGAGGCTGGGCTCACTAAAAGAGCAGCTTTCCAGGAGGTCTCCGAGCAGCTGGGGGGCTCTGGTTTTACTCTACTTTCCAGTCAGAGAACAACGATGTTGAGCTCCATTACTTCAAGTTCGAATGCCCTAGTGCCCGGAGAAACATGGAGAGCAAGCAAAGAGTAACTGAGCAGGGCCCGGCACAGCCCAGCACCCTACCCCACCCCACCCCTTGAGGAGCAGGTCAGACCTCAGACCCTGGTCTAGGGATGACACACATGCTGCCCAACCGAACGCAGAGGACACGGGAGAGACCGATTCCCAGACAGATTTGGAGAAGGTTGAGCTTTGGCATTTCCCTGGGAAAGTGGTTCTTCCCGGTGGATTCTGGGAACAGCAACCGCAGAGTGAAAATGAAGGCACATGTGAAGGGCGGAAAGGACCCAGTAGAGTTCATTTCAGAGTGAAGACTGTCAGCGCACAGCCCAACCCCTCCCATCCCACCTCGGCGGTGGTGTTAAGAAATTCTAAGTTTAGAGCCGTGCTGGGGGCGGGAGGAGGCTGCGGAATGGCCGAGTTCACCTGGAAATGGGTGAGAGAATGTTGACTGCGAACAGGTAGAACGGAGACTCAGAATAGACTTGAGCTGGAAAAAAAAAAAAAAAAACAACAGTATTTGCACGACCAAGAGAGTCGCTTTCCACAGTTGGCTGCTACAGGGCTTTGGTGGCCGAATTGCTAGACCCAGTTCCTGAGGCTCTTTGTTTGGCTTAGTGGTGTGCGCTCCCTCATCCCTGCCCTTGGAAGGTAAGGGTAGAATCTGGAGTTTAAGGTCAGTCTGCTAGGAGAGATGGCTCCGTGGTTAAGATCAGTCTATAGATGAGACACTATCTCAAAACAAGCCAAGGTCTGAGGCCTGGAGGGAGCATGGCTCAGCAGTTAAGAATATTCAGTGCTCTTCCAGAAAATTCCGGTTCAATTTCCAGCACCCACATGGCAGCTCGCAGCCATCTGTAACTGCAGTCCTGGGGGAAATCACACCCACTGTGGGCCCTCTGGACTGCACAGTGCACAGGTGTTTATGCAGGCAGAAATCCTAAACACATAAAAACAGGAAATTAACTGCAACAATAAAGAGCTAGCAACAGCAGAAACCCTCAAAGAGCAGAAATGCGCTGGAGGGGGAGGGCGCAAGGCTTATCTCTCAGGCAGTTCTTCAGGCTCCTCATGTAGGCATACAGAGATCACGCTTTAATGAAAGCTTGCTCCCACTTCCCTCCCTCTGCACAGGACTCCTGGTTTAGCAGTTGGGGTGGAAGGATCATTCCCACATGATTCATGAACTCGTTTCAGCCTCATGAGTCAAGCCTTGAGAAACCAGTAATTAATTTCCGGGACCTTGTTTATCCCGTCAGTACACCCCACTGACTTTTATATCGTCCCCAGGGTTTTGCTGTTACATGCTATGCCCTTATGACTGTTGATAGCATGTCGTCCCCAGGGTTTTGCTGTTACATGCTATGCCCTTATGACTGTTGAGAGCGTGTTACATATTGATATATGTGGGCAGAGCTAAGCTTAGAGCAAGGCTTTGACGGAGTCTTTTTATTTGTTTTGATTTCAACTGTTAACTTTTTTTTCCCCACATACAGGAAGGTTTGGTTTGGTTCTGTGCTTGTGTTTGCAATGTTGGGAATTAGAATCAGGGCCATCCCAGCACTCGGGAGGCAGAGGCAGGGGGATCTCAGAGTTCGAGGCCAGCCTGGTCTACAGAATGAGTTAAAGGACAGCCTAGGGCTACACAGAGAAACCCAGTCTTGAAAAGCCAGGGGGGAATTTGCGGTTATTTGTTGGGGAATCACATGTGATCATCAAAGGATAAGCTGGAGGAGGCTTTTCTTTCCTTCCAGTGTGTCCGGAGACCAGACTCAGGTCATCAACCTTGGCAGCAGGCCCTGAGGAGTCCTCTCACTGGACCCATTTCTTTGTTGAGACAAGGTCTCACTGTATAGTTCAGGCTGGTCTGCTGAATGCTGGGATTACCAGCCTACGTCGCCGCACCTGTTTTGGTTTTTTGTTTTTTTTTTTTTAAAGCGGTATCTGCTTCATCTGTGTCGTTTTCTAATAAAAAGCACAATGTCAGGAACAAGGCAAACAAATGGATAATGCACGGTCAGGACAGTGGTCCTCAGCGAAGAGTATTCTAAGTGAGAATCAAAAGTAAAAATAAAAACATTAAGTAAAGTGTAGTCGACCCAACCTTGAATACCAGCACTCAAGAGGGAAGGGCGGGTGGTTCTCCTGTGAGTTCCAGGCCAGCCAGGGCTACACAGTGAGACTCTGTCTTTAAAAAAAAAAAGTTACTGAGAGAGCTGGCCCCCACTCATCTGGCAGTCGCCTCCATTAGAGGGGAGCACTATCCCTGGGGTCATGAGAGCAGGAGAACCAGCCCTGCACTCACCTGGGCAACACAGTGGAGCTGACCCCGACGGTGAAGACACGGGTGAGGCCGCCCAGAGAGTTGGTAAGAGTACTACTGTAAGGGAGCTGGCTCAGCCCTTCACAGGCTGCAGCACGGGAGAGTGGGCCCTGCACCTTGACTGGGCAGCATGGTGGAGCTGGCTGTGGAGGGGTGGATGGGGAGAGGCAGGCAGGAGAGTGGGAGCGCTGACCCTGCCTTCTGCGTTGAGTGGCCTAGCTGGACTGGTGCTGGAGAGTCACCCTGGTGGTGCAGATAAGGGAGAGCCAGCCACGGCTCAGCTGCCAGCCACGGCTCAGCTGCCACCCAGGCCCAGATCCAGGGCTCTGAGTTGGTCCACCCCAAAATCTACATCATCTGTAAACAGTTGGGATGGTGACAGGGCCTGCTATTCTGAAGCTGCAGGGTCTCCATGACACACAGCAGTGACAGGATCATCAGGAGGAGTCCCGATGAGGATCCAATACTGATGGCGTCACAGAGGTCAAAGACCTCGAATCAGACCAATGACTCACTGCAACGAACATTTGCAAGTGAAGTCCTGTGGACAGAGGGATACACTGTGACACCCTACAGCTTCCACGATGAGATGTTTTCTGTGCTTTGCTTGTTTGTTTGCTTGCTTGTGTGTTTTATTTTGGAGGGAGGTTGCAAGGATGAAGGGCAGATATGGGGTGATAGGGAGGTGGGTGGGGCTGGGGTGCATGATGTAAAAATCACAAAGAATCAATAAAAAGTTTTTTAAAAAGAAAGTTGTTTTGTTTTGTTTTTTTTTTCAGTGATAGAAACAGAGGTTATGAAGAAAAAAGAACCCCTGAGGGTGGGTGTGAGACAGTGACCTGGAAAGACAGGAACTTAAATGTCACCTATTGTATTTTTTTATTACAATTTGTTGTATTTGTGGGTGAGGCGCTTGTTGGAAATTGGTCTCCTCTCCTCCATGTTGGTAACAGGGGTTGAACCCAGGCTGTCAGGTTTGGCAGCACACAGTTTTCAGGCGTTTCCCTGTCCCATGCTTTCGCTTGTTACAGTTCTTTAGGACCTAGCGTGGTGATGCAGACCTTTTCTTCCAGCACGGGGGAGGCAGAGACAGTCAGACCCCTGTGAGTTCGTTCCAGGAGAGCCAGAGCTACATAGTGAGACCCTGTCTCAAGATAAGATTGAAAGTTATTTAGGGCTGAAATGTAGCTCAGTGGTCAAGTGCCTGACTAGTACGGTCAAGGGTTTGAGACCCCATCATCTCAGACATTTTTTAAAACTGGGCATCGTGGCACATAGCTGTAATCCTAACACTCAGAGTCTGAGAAGGAAAAGTTGCTATGAGATTGGTGCC